TCGACCTATCTAAGAAACTGGTCCAAAGTCGGAAATGACATGTCGTACAAATCCGGAACTGGTTAAAATTTGATGCCAATGTCTATATCAAATTATTTAAATTGTTAGAAGGCGATCAAACTTATGACTTAATGAATTAAATGATTACATATACAACTTTAAGATAAAAAATATTATTTTGATATCTTTATTTGACTAGTTGTACACATTTCACATGAGGCACTTTGGAAGCAAGTTTGATCTTGTATACAGTCATTTTTTGTTCAATACTTTAGTGAAGGCATTTTGGAGTGAGTATTGTCTGTAATTTCCACTGACAGACTGTTGTTTCTGTAAATTAAAATTAATCTATATTTTATTTTTTTAGTAAAAAGCTGTAAGGATCATGCAGATTTCCGTATTAAAAATAACTTTAAGTATTACAACTAACCACTTGACAGTCATGTGACTTAATGACCTGGATGTAAATTTCACGTGCAAAAAGTCCCCCTGCCATATTTCTAGAATATTTGTTTATTTTTTATAGATTCTTTTCGAAGGTAAAAAATAGTATTAGTAAAAGGGTACACAAATGTGATATCTGACCCCTGAGCTACCTAGTTGAATACACTGAAAGCATAATTTTTTTCAAGAACCATAAACATGATGTACCTTGTCATTTTAACTCCAAGTCATCAAAAGAATGATATATCAATGTACATGGACAAACAGAATACAGCGAAGCAATTTTGTGTATAATATTTCAAAAATCCAGGTGATCTGGTTCTGTTATTTGTCAAGAAAATATCTGACGGAAAATTTTGACATGTTTGAACCATTTATGTTTTCCTCAATGATAACATTTGGCAAAGCACTTATAGGAAATGGTACCCCATAACCTGAACCAGAATACCGTCCCAATGCAATTTGGTGGGGTAGTCCTTACAAAAATAACACCTACCTTCCTTGTCTTCTCACGTACAAATGTGGCGGGTACAAGGTGTGAGATGTCGAGGTATTTACATACAAGAAGGACAATTTACCAACATCTGTCTTTCGCAAATTAACTTCTCCTTTACGAATTACGACTACTTAAATATATATGTGTACTTTTAGTCTTGAAAACAAACAGCATTTTGATGTGTTTCTGGAATTTTTTTATGAAGCGTATGCTGTTCAGCAGTCAGCGAGTAGAACTTTTTTTCTGGTGATATGAAATACTACGATCTTTCAATATAATCTTTAATATTTCTTTTTTTGTATCATCTTCAAATATTATACTCTCATATATGCATTATCATGTACACGAAACATTTTTCTTCCTCTAGTTAATGGGGATATTTTACCCTGCGTATTTTGGCCACAAGGTGTATCCGCGGTTTAATATTTTGATGACGTGTGTTGCCTAGTCATAACAGAGACACTCTGGTAATAACAATTCCCGCGAAATTATTGAAAAAGGAAATTTTGATAAAAAACATTGCTTTGAAAGATGATAAAAATGTTATCTGAATGTGGATTGTATAGATATTAAAAAATATCAGCCCCCTCGACAGAATATGAAGCTAAATGGCTCGTTCGCTACGCTCACTCGACATTTAGCTTCATATTCTGGCTCGCGGGCTGATATTTTTCTATATCTACATATCCACATCCAGATAACATGTACGTACTCCCTACCATTATAATATCAAAACTCCTTCAGTTAAGTAAGTATATCTAGCATCAGGAAATTGATGGAATTAACTATTTTGGAGTGTCCAAAACTCTTTGGATGTTTTAGATAAATTACGTGCTTTCGATGGTCCGTTCAATTCAATTGACAGTTATAATTTTTCGACTCTGTACACTACGCTACCACATACATTTATCAAACAGAAGTTATCTTATTGAATTTGATGGTTCTTGGAAGAATCTTGTTGCAGATTTATATGCTGCAACTCATATAAAGCCTTCTTCTGTAATGAAAAAGGGAAATATGCTAGATATACTTACTGAACTGTAATGAGATGATTAAAGCTTTAAATTTTCCTTCTTGAAAACATTTATGTACGTTTGAGCAATAAAGTTTATCGACAGGTTGTAGGTATTCCTGTGGTCACCTATTGCGCCCTTTATGGCCAAAATCAGTGAAGATCCGTCTTAATTTCACTTGTTCTGTTAATTAATAGCGTTTGATTTGACAGTTTTTATGGACTTTTTTTTTCGAATTTGCCTTGGAGTTCGGTATTTTTGTTATACTTATTTTTTACATTTAATTGATAAATGTAAAAACACTTACCGTTTACTTGGTGATATGTTTGCTTTACATAATCAAGAATTTTTTAATTTTACTTCAGAAATTTACCCAAAGGAACTTACTTTAAATAAATTTAACACAGACAGCAATTATTGTCTTTTTCTAGATTTGAATATTGCATGTTCACACGGGAAACTATATACAAAAACTTGCGACAAAAGAGGCGATTTATCGTTCCCGATTGTTGATTTTCCCTTTACGGACGGGGATGTTCCTTTGGCCCCTTCTTATGTTTTGTATATTTCAGAACTTGTTCACTATGCCCGTGTCTGTTGTCGCGTTTCAGATTTCAATGAACGTAATTTATGTATAACTGATAAATTATTAAGTCAAGGATTTCAATACCACAAATTGAATAAAACCTTTGCAAATGCTTTCATGGAAACAAAGATTGAATAAGAAAGTTTGACTGTAGTTCTAATTAAAAACGGGATATCATATCCTAATTTTTACGGTGATGTTATTTATTAAGACAGTAAATTTAGATACGATCCATGTAAACTAATTCATCCTTTGAACAAACTTATTCTTAAAGGGTATCTATTTAACACAGTAGTACACTCCTTAAATATTGTTTTATTGGAACTTACATTGAATTTGTTTTTGAAAAATTAAAACATAACTAGATACATATTGTAATATATAGATATAAGAAGATGTGGTATGAGTGCCAGTGAGACAACCCTCCATCCAAGTCAAAATTTATAAAAGTAAACCATTATAGGTCAAAGTACGGTCTTCAACACGGAGCCTTGGCTCACACCTAATAGCAAGCTATAAAGGGCCCCAAAAATTACTAGTGTAAAACCATTCAAACGGGAAAACCAACGGTTTAATCTATATAAAAAACGAGAAACGAGAAACACTTATGAACCACATCAAGAAACGACAACTACTGAACATCAGATTCCTGACTTAGGACAGGTGCAAACAATTGAAGCGGGTTTAAAGTTTTAATGGTACCAAACCTTCACCCTTATCTGAAACAATAGTGTAACATCACAACATAAAAAAACACACTATAAAATATCAATTGAAATTGCTTAACTCAATCAAAAGACATATTAACACCGGTGAAAATACACTGAACAAATAAATTTGATCTATGATAAAATGCAAATACAAAATAAATAAACTAAGGGAAGAATAATTAAAGTAACATGTTATACCGCTGTGAAATGTTAAACAATTTAAGAAAAACAATATACTTGAACAAATATATCAGCCATTTGCAATTACTTTAAAGACCTGTAAATAAAAATAATTTTGTTGTTAGGTATACGTGTACAGTTCAGATAGAGAAAGGAAATATTTTTACAAAATAAATAATTTTGATGTTCATAGTACGAAGAAGTGAAAATGTACAGTTATGAGAATTCATTATCCTTAATCCTGTCGATTATGTTTACTTATATTTTGTCATTGCACAACGTCATGCGTTTCTCAGACTGTTAATGACGTCTCTACACTAAATCCGTTGGATGTGTACTGATTGATACTTTGGTCTGGGAGAACATGATGTATCTATTAGTTGTAATTGGCTTTTAACTAGCTTTCAGTACTCTTATTTCGGTTCTTGTGCTGTTACACAAGGTTAGGGGAAGGTTAGAGCGCTAACAAACTTGTTTAACCCCGCCACATTCTGTATGTGCCTGTCCCAAGTCAGGAGCCTGTTATTCAGTTGTTGTCGTTGGTTCATGTCTGTTATATTTGTTTTTCGTTAATTGCTCCAATATATATTTAGAAAAAGTGTACAATAAATCCAAATAAATGAAAACAAAATTTAATCATAAATACAAGAATAACAACATATATTGAACAACAAAAACATTCATCAATCCAGTAACTTGTCTGTTTTAAATTATTCTTGTAATCGTGAAAATGACAGACTGAGCTTCTACGTCAAATGTGTAGTTTGTAATCTTTATAGAGTTATACAAAATAAATATCAACAAAATTTAGGAGGAAATATGTAACCAGCTAAGGCAATCATCTATAAATTACAAAAATAGCAAACCTCAGAATATATTCCAAAACGTTCAATCAATCCAAGCGATAGGAAATGATTATTGATTGACTCTCAAGGTTCAGAGTTTGATCATACCCCTACACAAATTCCAACTATTATGACATTGACTCTAGTTCCTTCTAAAAATATCATTATGAATGTATGTATAAACGAATATCTGTATTTCATATATAGATATTGTAAAATATGAATTGTGTGCAATACACTACAAATTACCGATCAAATCAATTAACTCTAATGCCGTACGTTGTTTTACATTCCTTATCCAAAATCTCTCCAAAAACAATTCTGTGACTTTAACTAGCTAGACCATTGGGACAACTTACAGAATAGTCTGTAATGCAAAACTGTGATAAACAATGTGGTATGTTCCTTTGATCACAGCTGCTTACCTCAACCACACTGTACTGTCAATTATAGTGCTGATCAGTTGACTGAGATCCGTCTTGTGTTATCAGGAGTTAGCAAATGTCGACGGAGGTAATGGTCAGGTTTACAGTCACTTCAATGGTCATTAATAAATGACATTCTTCTTCTTATCCTCGTTCTGCTACTGCTACTTCTAGTACTTCAAAATTCAGTGTGTAGTCTTTGTCGAAGTAGAAGAAGAAGCAGTCGTAGGGAGGTTCAGAATCATCTATCAATCTTACGGAATGTAATTAATTTTAGGACACGTTTATTTTTTAATTTCAGCTACACGAATCTCAGGATGTATAGTGCCTATATAATGGTAGTGGGTGTAGTCGTCATCTGTTGTGTAGCACAGGACAACCAGGTGAGATAAAAATCTTATATAATTTTACGAAATACGTTATATTTGATAAAAAGAAGTACTGGACGAATTCTTTTTTCGTGTTAATGACCATAGAAACATAACATAGACATTTACAATTTCACTCCACGCGCACTGTTTCTTAACGGAAGATATTGGTGATGGCGTGTTTTTCAATATTTTCCTTTTTTTTCAAAGTGCAAAGATTTCTATTAAACATTATGACCTTTTTGTCTTAACAATGCCATAGGAACTCATTCTACACTAGCATAAGCTAAACATTGTTTCAAGCTGTGAAGAAATTTAGAAATGAAAGATTTGAAGTCATGGTATTTACTACTGGCGTATATAATCTACTAATTTCCGTAATGATTTATCAGAGCAAGTTTGGTGTATTATTAAGTTGTCATGTATAAACAACATGTGATAGATTTTGTTTATACTTTGCCAAAATGTAGTTCCTGTCGTGTTATATTGTAATTGATAGGACATTGAACTTGATTTCAGAAGAAAATTATCACATTTAAGTGAAGCTTATACAAGAAACAAGGACTATTATGTGACTAGAAAAAAAAATATTTGTGTTTTTAAATTAACAAAAAAGATAAAAACATATGAATTTCTTCGTTTTAATGAAAGTTCAACTTCCTCGAATAAATGCCATATTTGCTAAATTTATAAAAAAAAAAATCTGAACTGATCAGTTGAGTTCCGAGATGGCGGTGTGCCCCATTAGTTCCGTAAACTGAACACCATGAAAGTGAGCAACATATTATAGGTTTACTACGGAACGATATAAAGGGGCATTAGCTGTCAAGTTCATGTTCACCGATTTGACTCAAATTCTCATGTTTGATTAAAGAGGTACTAAAACGCTAAAATCATGTTTGTCTTATTCTAAAGTTCGTAATTAACGTTTAAGAATGCCAAAAAACCGATAAAATTTCATCTTGTAATTATCGAGATATTTGCAAATTACTGTCAGTTTGTCATTTGAACACCTGAACGATTTAGTAAAACACGCCACTACAACGCACTACTTATATCCAACGGAAGTGACGCACAGTGGGTCACCCTGATCAAATACGTGTGTTATATCGTATGCAAACAGATCACGGCTTGTAAGTAAAATAACAGTTTTGAAATATAACGGTGACAATTATTACATTGAGAATATTGATAACCATTTATCGAGGCTTGATAATCGCATAAATATTTTAATCAAATGTTTATAATTAGAAAAGTATTGAAAAATCAAAAGCACAAATCAACCTTTTTTCTATAAAATATTAATATGTGCATCCTAAAGTGGCGGTAGAAGCAACAGTAGAACCGTGCATGCTTTTTTCCATGGAGGAAACACGGCATTCAAAATAGGACACTCCCAACACGTGCTTCCAAAAGACGACGGAGTTCGATTTGTTAAATTAAACTATGTGGGTTTTTCTGAGCTACAAAAAAATAAAAATTCTCTTTCTTACGACTTTAGTTAGTTACAGCAGCATTTCAAAATTATATACGTTTATTCTCCAGATAATGTGAAGAATTGAGAACTGTCAGTCACACTAATCTGCTTGACTGGTTTAGCAAAAACCTGAATATGTATTGATAAAGCCAGAGACATATAATACATGTATTATATGTCTCTGATCAAGCTATTTCATTAAAAATGAAATACTGGATAGACTTGTAATTAACCTATACGGAGATTTAAAAATCAAACAAAATTTTTAAATGGAAATCAGTATAAGTATATATGATTGTCATAGTCCTTGGACCTTATGTAAAAATATTGCTATATGTGTCATATATACTAACGTTATATCAGATCCCAGCATCATGAGCATAGTCCTACCTACGGACGAATGTAGGATAGAAAGTCACAGTACAAAAATTCACAATTCAGTTTTTAGTTTAATTTTTTTTAATAAGAAAACATTTGTCAATATATTTTTGTATTTTTTCTAGAACTTTTATATATATATGGCAACTTTGTAAACAAAATTTATTCTGAAAAAAAAACAATAATAAAAAATAATTGTAAAGATAACAATTTGTCAAAGTGGCCTGGTACTTAAATGGTTTCATTATGACATAGTTCCAATAAATATATCCTTTTCATGCATAAAATTTGACATCTATTCATTACTCTAGGTTTAAATGAACTATTTCATAAATTGTAAAATGAATATATGCAAGTAACCAAAAAAAAAAATTGTAGAAATATTTCCTATGTTTTCAAACAAAACTAAACAAATAGTATGTGTGACTTTTGTACTATCAAATTTTGTTACTTTCTGTCCTGTAACTTTCAGTACGTTTGCCATCACAGGCCTATTTCATATGTAAATATATATTAATTTTTTTGTTATTAGAAAATAAGATATAAAACCTATATCGTAGAAATATAAGAGCAATAGAATTATTAAATAAGTTAAAATATATTTGAGCATTTAAAACTACAACAAAAACCATTGATATAAAATCTTTAGAAAAAGGGGTGCGCATTCCCAAATTACTTGTGTCCTAAATCCTGAATGTTATGATCACACCAATTTTTTTTTTAATAAAAAAAGTTATACCATACTGCTTTTAAAATATTGACCTTTTCTTTCATTTGAAATTTAAGCAATGACAAATAAATAGTTTTATTAAAAGACCATAAACCCACTTACTCATGGTATGGTATCAATATTTCTGACCTGACACTGCGTACTTTTTATTGCTTAATTCTTTAGAATTTAATATGCAATGTTTCCGGTTTTTTCGGGAATGTTCCCAGATAAACCATCATCAGAGGCCGACCTTTATGTATTTATTTCGTATCTAGTATAGTAGATAGATGTGTGACTGTTTCATAACAGTTTTTTTAATCTATTAACTACACGTGTATATAGGTCTACGTCGTAGCTAGTCTTTTTACAGATTGAAGAAACTGACCAAATTGATCAGCACTATTGTTTAATTATTCATATATATATAATGAGAAATTGTCTTTATTTTTATCACTAATTAATTCAACATAAGTCTACACGGGATCTAGTAGAGATAGTATTTATCAATGTTATATTGTTGAATTCAGGGTATACTGGCGTGTTTGTTTTATCATCTCTATGATAATATACAAAAGTCTCCATGTTTAGCATTTGAAGAAGTTTGTGTAGGTACCATGCGTTTTAGTACCTCTTTAATAACATTCTAAAACAGTTATCTAAATTACAAAAAGTCTAAAATAAACAATTAACAATACATGGACTCGATAATATGTATCAACATTTCGTGTGTATATACGTCATCTAATTAACCATCGAGATGACCTCCGAAGATTGCCGACGGTCATTTAACCCGATATAAACATAAATATAAATATCAACAGATAGCGACTACGTGCAATTGGATTATTCTAGGTCTGTTTGATTTCATATTGAAGGTTAAAAAGTGTGTTTATCAACGTTTTTACCTGTATAGGAATGTTTTTTTGTGGATCGAATCAGTCAACCAAATGGTTCATCCTTGTTTCACTTTCAATGATGACACATTCTTTCCTTTTAATAGCTGAAAATATGCGTAACCAATTATTTACTTGCAAGTGAATGATTCATCAGCGACGCTTTTAGAATTATTATTTCACTATATCACTTTCATTATTGACTGAACAAAAAAAAACATATTAGCTAATGCCCCTTTAAATGTTGTCATTGTTATTTGGTCAGAAGATAATATAGCTGACCGAAGAACTATATGACTATACTTAATTTATTTTCAGCGGTTCAAAGTGGTAAAACGGAAAATATGGACTTGATTTATTGACTGGACATTTACAACCGAAATGCATGCATTTTGGTCCTTGTCCTTTGTTTGATAATATCTCATTAGCAATCATACCGCATATCTTTATTTTTATATCCTTTAATTCAAGTCAGCACCGACGCAGTGCCTACTAGGCATACTGTTCACACCGGGGACTGAAAGTTCACCAGCAACTTTAATACAGACCCAGTGGTAGTAGTCGTACAAAAACAGACAACACCATGACTAAAAATAAAAGCGATGAAAAGACAAACAAAATCCCCACAAAATACTACACAGACTACTGGGGAGAAAGCCAGGTGCTTCGGAAGGGTTTGGAAATTGAAAAAAAAAAATCGGAATTATTTACCTTTTCCGAAAGGTATCTTAACCTTTCTGATATGAATAATAAACTTTGAAACTATTTTTTGTCCTCATTCACTTTAATGATTAAAACTTTAAAAGTGAAAATGTAACAATTCTTTTCAATTTCATACAATTCATAATTGTGTTTCACCATTCTTGTCATTCCTTTTTTTTATCAATCTTAAAAAATGTCGAGAGATATTTTATGTAAAATAATAACATGACATCACAATCTTCCCTTGATATATAAATCTAGAACTACTTCGCTGTTGTTGTTCATGTCATTTCCTTAAATGTATGAATAAAATAATGAGATGTACGTGCGATTAACACGTGTCCCTGGAACAACCTTCGTTTGGAGGTCATTGATATCACTTCCTTAAACGGCAATTACTGGTGCCAGTGTTCATTTATAAGACTGGCAATTTCCGTTTTGAACAGTTACACGGAACTTATTCTTTAAACTCAAGAGATGAAATGTTGATTGTTTTAAAGCTACTATAGGATGATACGAGAAATCAATTCCTCTAAAACCTCATTAATAGTTCTTTGTATCACTTAAATGCACTCAATATTAAACTTCAATGTTAAATGAAAGAATCTTAGATACACATTGATATAGCTACAAGGATAATGTTAAATGTTTAAAAAGAACTTTTTACCTATATCATTTAACAGAGAATGCTAAACAATTAATGACTTGAGTTTCAAAATTGTATCTCCTTACTTTTATTTTATAGTTTTGGTTATTGCTTTATCAAACACAAAACTGTTGAGACTAAAAACGAATTGGTTTAAACGTCCAGTGGAAAATATTACATGTATGTCAGGACAATAACTTGTTAATG